TTAATTTAAATTTTAAAAATTTATCATACTAAATATATATTAACGTACATCAATCTTGATTTTTAAAAACAAATGAAGTTTCAACCTATATCTAAAAATTGAAATCTCATCATACTAAATATTGATATTTAAATTTACAAATTTATTATATATTCTAATATAATCAATTTTTAAATCTAAATATCAATATTTAATAAGATAATTTTTCAAATTTTGAATTGAGTCTAATTAGATAAAATAATATAATTTAATATTGAAACTCCAATTATTTTTAGAAATCGAGACTGATATGCACTTTTTTCTAATTAATATATCTTTTAACTTTTAATTTATATAAAAAATTTAAAATATAATATTAATTTTAATATAAATATCACTTGTATAGTTTTAATTAGATAATATACAAGTTAAAAATTAATTTTTATTTTTTAATATATGATATCAATAAATTATTTGTTATATAAGTATTTTTAATAAAAAATTAACATCATATTAAAAAATAAATAATTTATTTAAATTTATAATTTAAAAAAATAATATGTTTATACATTTTTTTTTTTAAAGTGATTCTACCCCTATCGACCTGAGTAAATTTGAAAGTTTTGGTTCGAGAAAAAGTCAATAAATATTTTTTCAAGGCATGACAATTTGGAAAATATCAAAAAAAGGTAGCAAACCGAGCTACGGCATCTGTGTCACGGCATCTTCTGAATCAAAGGGGGAATGATTGTTACACCGTTTAATTCAATATTTGATTTAATATTTTTTAGTTTAATTATTAAAAATATAATAATATAAATATAATTAATTTAATTGATTTTTATATTTTATGTGTATGATTATATTATTATATTTATTTATACTCTAAACTTATATCTTGAATGCATAATTGGAATAGTCCTTTCAAAAAAATAAAATAAAATAACAATAACAATAAGGTTGGACTTGGACAAAGGATGATCCTAAGAGAATATTGTATTAATATTGAAGCAAAAAGCATCGAAAAAAGGACCATTTGGTA